AAATTTCTCTTCTCTTTCTTTTATTTTTTATAATAAATAAAATTTTTTTCTCTCCCCCCCCTTTTAATTTGCTCAACCTAAACATACAATTACAATCATTTCAAGAACCCTTCTTTTAGATTTGCCTGGCATTCCCCATGGTATGGTCCATTTCAAGAACCCCTTTTTTAATATTTGCTGGCATTTTCCATGATATGGGTGGCAGTAATAAGTCTTCTGTTTTAGAATTCAAATTATAACAGCGGATTGAATCAGTTTTATTTTATAATTTAGTGCTATTTTAATTTCAAAATAGGAGACTTTTATTTTTTATTTTTGAAAAAGTCAGGTTCTAATTTTCTCTCGTTTTCCTTTTCCTTTCGTTTCGTTGCACCTAAAAATGGGTTCGGGTTGAACTTGGGCCCATAGTGGGGATGAGGCCTGAGTTATTTTCAGACTACTAGCATTCATCAACGACCCAATTCTTTGGGCTCATACCAGAGCCTTCTATCGTAATAAAAAATTGGATTAGGTCCAGTTTTCCTAGCTTCCAAAATTGGAGGTCTACTTCTCTGACCGAACAAAAACCAATTAGATGCATTTTACATTTTCACGGGAGGTCTCCTGGGTGTGGCTATGGCCACCGTGCCCGCCACCCATAATAATAATAAGGTGATAAAAAATTATAAAAATTATTTTTAAAATATTAATTTTATTTAATTTAATTAATAAAAATTATTAACAATTATAATTAATAAAATAATTAATATTTATTTATTAATAAATTCAAATTAATTAATAAATTGATATTTTTAAATATTATTTAAAAAATTGATGATTTTAACATTTTATATGATGGCTATAACCCTACTTGAACCAACAGCCTTTTTTTGCATATTTGACATTAATAAATAAATATTGTGTCTCATGATTCAATTGTCATGTATCTGAAGCCATATTGTGATCAAATGAAAAGTAATATTGGGTAAAATTTATAAATATTATCAATTTCATTAAAGTGAGCAATTGCCTTGTTGACATGTGTTATTTATTTATTTATTTTGAATTATATAATAAAAAAATATTTTTTAATTTATTTCACTCACATATTAAGTAATTTTATTTAATTGTTGTAATTATTTAGACATATTATTATTTATTTAGGAATTTGATAATGTATAAAATTAATAAATCTTTTTCCCGTGGTAAAGTTATATTTTAAGGATGGAAAAATTTTGAATCTTGGTAGTAAATATTTGAGATTAACTTTTCAGCTTTTAATTCTTTTAACTTTTTGCCTCAATAAAATATTTTTTTTATAAGTGGCAAAATTAAATATATGTATACTACCATGTATACTTGAATTGTTAAATGTATTCTTGTTTATTGTCGATTAAAAATGCATATTTGGAAATGGGGAATGAAACCCTTCCACGATAAATCCATGTGGTTGACCTTGAGGATCAACTTTAATGCAGTACAACACTCATACCATGATAGGTTGTATATACCATAATGTTAGGCAGGGAGACCCTTTGTCTCCCTACATTTTTGTAGTTTACGTGGAGGTGCTTTCAAAAATGTTAAATCACGTTGCTATTGAAGGGAAATTTGCCTACCACCCCAAATGTGAGAAAGTTCAGCTCACACATCTGTGTTTGGTAGATGATTTGATAATTTTTATTAATGGAAGTGCAGCCTCACTTGATGCTATAGATGATGGACTAAAGCAATTTTATGCAATATTTGGGCTACAGGTAAACTATGCCAAGTTTGGGTTATTTTGTTGTGGGTCGCATGAGATATACATCAAGGACCTTCCTAAGAAATTTGGGTTCAAAATTGGTTCTCTACCAATTTGTTATCTATGTGTTCCATTGATCATAAGAAAGTTATCAAGAAAGGATTTACAACCTTTAATTACAAAGATAACAGATATAATGACATCCTAGGTAGCAAAGCACCTTTCTTTTGCTAGGAGACTGCAATTGATCACTTCAGTTATATAAGTCATCACTAATTTTTGGTGCTTTATCTTTATTTTGCCTAAGGCAATTAGAAAAGGGGTAGGAAAGATTTGCAGCACCTTCTTATGGAAAAATACTACTCAAAGTGCTTGTGGGGCTAAGGTAAATTTGCTCACCGTTTGCTCTCCAAAAAGGTGGGTAGGGTCTCAAGAACCTAGATCTATAGAACCAAATGCATATTTTCAAGCATATTTAGCTGCTATTCTCCAGAGCAAGATCAATTTGGGTAGCTTGGGTTCATGAATACCTTATCAAGGGCAAAAACTTTTGGACACTTAACATACCAATTGATGCATCATGGAGGCAAAGAAAAATCCTTAAGCTTAGGCATATAACAAAGGGACTTATACAACACATCCCAAGAGATGGCATAGATATTTACATTTGGCATGATTATTGGCACCCTTTTGGGCCATTAATTGAAGCATATGGCAGTAACATTGTTAAGGATGTAGGAATCCCATTTCAAGCAAAGATAGCAAGTTTGATTAATGAAAATTTCTAGCGATTACCTCCTGCAGCGTCTCCTCAACTAGTTCAAATCCAAATGTACCTCTTTGAGATGTTCCCCAAAGAGGGTGAGAAAGATATTGTAATATAAAGACCTTCAACTTCTAGTAATTTCAAGACTAGGCAAACCTGGAATTGGTTAAGAAGAAAGATGACTAAAAGGGTGTGGCATAAGTTGATATGGTTTTCTCAAGCAATTCCCAAGTATAGCTTCATTAATTGGCTAGATATTCTCAACAGGCTAAGTACTAAAGCTCAACATAAGAGGTGGACCCCCACCATTGTTGGCACTTGTGTTCTATGCAATAGTGAGCCAAAGACAAATGAGCACCTATTCTTTAAATGCAACTATACGTAGAGGATTTGGCAAACACATAGTGCTATGGTAGGCATCTCCTTAAGTAATTCAAGGCAAGGTCTTTTACATTGGATGGGGCAAAAAATCAGTAGAAAGTCTTTGCAGAATACCTTTTTTAAGTTAGCATAAAATGTAGTGTACCACTCATGGAGGGAAAGGAATTGGAGGATCTACCAAAAACCTTTTAGAGTCGATAGTGAGATTGTCTATGATATCCAATTTGATGTAAGGTGCAAAATCTTGAGATTTGCTCGACCAAAATCCTCTCCCTTGCCTATGGATATTGTTAAGTAATTGGGGCTTGAAGATGTTGTGAAGGAATAGAATTTGTACAGTCTTTGCTAGTTTGTTTTAGAGGATCATATTCTTTGTAGTAGCTAATTTGTAACTTATTGTGCATTTAGTTTTATGGATAATAAATTTTACATTTTATCCCAAAAAAAAAAAAAAATTGGATGGTATGGCGTCCAAAGCAACATGTATAACTAATGATTTTATAATGAGTAGAGACTCACTTATATACAAATTTTATACATTACGCTTGCATAAAATTTTAATTATTTATTTCTTTATTTTCAATTGTTGAAATTTATTCACATTTATTAAAAATAATTATTTTTTCATTTAAAAAGTTGAGATAAATATTAACTATTAAAAGTAGAGAGATAAATGATTAAGATTATATAAATGTAATATATAAAACTTTTATAATTAAGACTTGTGCATCACAAATAAAGGCTTTAGATACATAGGCTAAGAACTCAAAACCAAATAACATCACAAATATTCTAGCATGTTAATAAGCTTTTCTTGGCCGTTTACCATGTTAATACTTAATTACACATTCTTTCCCATAAAAATAATAGACATAGATAATAGATATTTTTATATTTAAAATATGTTTTAGAATATTATTTATTTTTTTATATTTTAAGAAAAATAAATATTTTTTAATACCTTAATATTATAATTATTTTTTTAATTTTAATTATTTATCATATCATATTTTTTTAAGGTAAAACAAGTAAAAATCTTTTTTATTCTGTATAAAAAAATATAAATTTATTTATAAAATTACTTAAATATCATTAATACATCATCATTGATATAAATACAGATGCTGAATAACTTTGTTCTAACCTCGGATGCGAGCATCCCTGTTTCCAATCAGCTCCAAAAGAAATTGCGGGTTCCAAACAGGTCGGAGTTGCCGAGTTGCTGTGTCGACAGATGAGTATCCTTTGGCATTTGTTCCGCCTGAACAGCATCTCCCTTCATTTTGACGCTTTTTCTCTTTTGTTATATCTTCTAACTAATATTATTTTAATTGTCTTCCTCGTCAAGAAATGACCACGTCAATCCCAACAACAACCATCAACGATCTTTCTTCCTCTCTCTGCATATAAGTCTACCCTCATTCAATCCTTCACTCGTATTTTGGTTGATACAGTTAAGGAGGATCTTTGAATCGGGATTCCAGTAATGGTGCTGCCGCTACTGAAGTTAGGAACCTTGGCCTTGAAAACGTTCAGCAAACCGGTGGCTAACAGGCTCAAGAAACAGGCCGCCGTGAGTCCCAGATTCCGGGAACTAATCATTAGCATTGCCCAGGTACAATACACACCCTTTTGTTTTTCTTCCCTTTTTGTCAAATGGGTAGCTGGTTGATATTCATTTCACTGCTTCTTTAGTTCGTACTTCGTACTACCCATTTCCTTTTGGTTTAACAATTTCTAAGCAAAACGTTTTTTAAATCAAAGTATCCATTCGAATTTCATGGTCTTGCTGTGCTCCTTGCTTCTGCACTTGATATATTCTTTAAAATTGTGTTGCTGTAAACAATGGGGAAATGGGGCAGTCGGTTTTTCCAAATTATGGTGTTGCTTAATTTCAGATATCCTTTAATTGACATGGGCATCAATCTTGGATAGGAAGAACGATTCAGGTTTTTTCTTTTCATTTCCAATTTTGATATTTTAGGGGTAAGGTTTTATTTTTCGAGTTTGATTAATGTTTATGCCTGGCTTTCTTTTCTTCTTGATGCAACATGGCATGTCTGATGGTGGTACCGTGATGGATTTCTGGAATGGTGAAAGGTTTAGTGTGTTTTAATAGGAATGTGAAAAGTTAAATCTTCTGACCTGAGAGGAAGTGTAGTGCACGTCTTCTTCTGGAAGCCCTACTATTGATCAACCAAGTTGTGTGTTTAACATAAAATTGCAATCACACTGCTCCCTTTGGAAATGAAAAGGATGATGATAACATTCTTAATAATCATTCAATCAGTGTTAAGATTCTGAATCCTATTTAGAGCGAGGTTTTGCTGTTTAGGTCAAATATTTAGCTGGAAGAGATCCAAAACAGACTTGCAAAACTGTCAAGCAGGGATGTATTATAATTCTTTTACTGGCATTTTTTGCAGATTCAATCTCTGGTTACCTGTAGCATTGCAAAACTTGATGACAGCAGTGCTAAAAAATGCCTTACTGTCTTGCTTCTAGATTTGAGTTTTGATGATGTGATTGGGCTTCTATTTTTTCTGTCCTATTTATGCTTTATAAGTTGTGCAAAAATGTTTCATTTTGTCTGTTGGTTCATTAGTTTAAAATAACTCTAAATGGAAGTGGGACAGAACTTGTTTTTCTATACCATGTTCATGCTTGTGAAAGACCAGTGGTTTTCTGGTCTGCAAAGAATTAAGTGGATTCCAAAAGTGTCTTACTCCTAACGTCCATTTAATGGAACCAGGCAAACCATCAAATTACGACAAAAATGCAAAGACGCATCTATGGTCATGCAACTAATGTTGAGATTCGGCCCTTGAATGAGACGAAAGCTGTTCAGGCTGCTGCAGATCTTATAGGTGAACTTTTTGTTTTCATGGTATCCCCAGTAACTCTTCCTCATATTTGTGAAGCATTGCAATTCTACTTCTTTTTTTATACAGTGACTAATAACAGTCACAAACAGTTCTCTTCTTTTAAAAAGGGAAATAATGAGCAAATTTTATAATGAACAAAATGGATGCAATATTTCTCTGATTTCTGCAATACTAGATAATTAATAGTTCAGACCAACGTCAATAATTTGGTGTGTTTTGGCCTGTAGATATCTTATTTACTTGTTGGAGCAGATTCTTTGGCATACAACCTTGAGTCATGTTGGACTTAAGTTAAAAGCATATGAGTGGAAAATCCACTTTTCTATTTTTTCGGTAAATAATTGGTTGCAATGAAGTATGTTGTATTTTGACAGGTGTAAATGAGGATAAGCAGGTAGGTAATTTTAATTTTCGTAAAAACAAAATTCTCTGTATTTCTAGATAGGATTGCTGTGGAAATGATATCCATGATTTTCACACTCAATGCATAAAAGATGGATGTATATACACAGGCATATACATATAGACCATAGAGTTACATGCATGTGTTAACTCCATTGTTTACTTGTATGAGTTTAGAACTTAATATACATGCTTATTCTGTAAAGTTCTAAATTCCATTAGATGCAAAAACTTATATGAACTGTGGTTGCTGATAAATTACACACCAAAATCTCTTTTCATGAAGGTTGCAGGAGCTGCCTTGATCTTTGAGGTTCAAAGAAGTGCTAGATCTGAAGCCAGAAAGGAGGAAATGCGCAAACAAGAACTTGAAGTAATGTTTGAATAGAATACCCCATTTTATGCTCTTTTTTTTTTTTTTTTTTTTTTTTTTCTGACTTACAGTGACTTTAACATGCAGTTTAATCCCCTCCCCATCAAATTAATCATAGACACACAAGCACAGAGTAAAACAACGTGATAGAAAAGGAAATCTTATTTTTTAATTATTTGTTCTATTCTATGATGAGGAAAAAGAATCTTGGAATATATATGAGATATGGGCATATTTTTAAGGAGTTAAGTAATTAACAATTACCATGCAGATCTTAAATACTTGTAGAATTTGAATGTTTTCTAGACAACTCTTGTGGATCTTTATATTATAGAAACAATCAAAACCCTGCTTTAACAGTTCACCAAAGAATCATATTGATTGAAGTTTATCCCTTTTATGATATATATGAAACTGTGCCATAGTTTTGCGAAAAAGGAAAATCAGGATTCCATGGTAACTTTGCTGAGTCTATGTTATGAATTAGTGCTGGATAGGACCTGATAAATAAACGTGGCTCTTTCTAGAGAGGACCACCAGTCAGATTCTTTCAGCTTATCGTAAATGAAATTTTTTGCCGGACAAAGGAGGGTGAACAAGACTTTGGATATTGAATATTATTTCTTAAAATCCTTTAGTCTTTGAAACAGAATCAATTCTTATGTTCACCACTACTTTGATTCCACTGACCTTCACTTGCAAGTAATTCTAATGGAAAACCACTATTTAGTGGAAGTTCTTATTTTGTATCAGAGGAGGCTTCTTGAAGTCTGTTGCATGAAAATATCTTTTGGGCTGTGGCTCAACATGTGTTAGTTAACCTTAATTCATTTGACTGTCATGATGAATTCATTGCCTTACATTACTGTTTTTGAGAAAGGGAATTACTTATTTCTAAAGCCTGCTAATTTACTAGCTCACTTCTTCACTGTTGTTTCAGGCAATGAGACAAAGAGATGAAGAGTTACAAAAAGAAGTGGAACTTCTTAGACGTAAAGTTGAAGAACTGGAGCAACTTGCTAAGGGACAGGGACTTTCTGGTTTGTTCAAATTTAAACATACCACTGCAGACACAGCACATTTGGCAAAAGCAGCTTGATGTTACCAAGAGACTTAACCAATAAGTTGTAGTTCAGCCACTTGGCCAATAATTTTTTTTTTTAAATTAAAATTATTCTTAAAAAATTTAAGCTAAATTTTGATTTTTCCCCCAGTGGAATTTTTCTTGTATAAACTTGGTCCACTAAATAAACTTTTTCATTCATCTCCCCATGACTGAATGAATTAAGACCTCTAGCCTCAAGAAAGAAAAATAATCATCAGTGCACATTTGGTTCATGGAGATCGGGCATATGTCTAATGCAAATGCCTATGCAATGGATGAAAGAATAGTTATGGGTCCATTATTGCTGAAAGCTTGGCTGACATTAACAGGCGGTGCTAAAGTCTGCTTTTTATTTAATGCTTAAAGCTAGTCTGTGATATTTATGGTAGTAATATTCCTGATCTTTTCTATAATTCAGCGAGGGGAGGACAAAGAGTTTGCTATTCAACTTTATTCATCAGAAAAGGAAAATCTTTCTATTGACTTTAAAATGAAATGACAGCTTCTCCAGCAATTCTTTTCTCTATAAAAAGGAGGATAGCAACTAGGATTCATAGTCCCTTTTTCTCCTTAAACTATTGAATAGTTTTGGATTATATTGCATTTAACAACTTAAACTATTGAGTGAAGGTTGATCTTCTAATATTAGGGGTTGTACTTTCATCTAATAAATTTTATTTTATAATTTAGTGTTGTTTAAATTTTAAAATAAGATTCTCAAAAGAAAAACTTATATTTTTGTTGTTCTTAAAAATGTCCTAAAGATTAGAAACTTAAGCCTAAGATTAAAAATCTTAAGTTTTCAAAACAACTTGTATAACTCATCATTATATGTACTATATATAAATTTCTCTGCAATTTATATATATACCAAAAAAATCAAAAGTTCCAGCAAAGGCTGTTGGTAATGATACCTTAATATTAAAATCTCAAAATGTTACAAAAGAGAAAGGAACAAAATGTAGTCCTTTTTAGATTATCATAGGAAACTTTTCCTACATCTTAAGGCAATAAGCTGCTGATGTTGAACAGTGATCTCCCTCTCTTTAAAAACACATTTATCTATGTCCTGACAGGAGCATCAACCATGAACCATCAAGAAGGGGAATCTAGTGGATGGATGGTAGAGTTGGTGTTGGTAGTGGAACTCCTCCTTTATGCCTTTCTTCCCATACTAATCTTCCACTTTCTCACCCCACGAAACGGATGGTCCTTTTTTCCTAGTCTACTTGGGGAAATGAAAAGAAGGTTTCTTAGCCTTGTTTTTCATAGTAGAAAGTGTTATGAAAAGGAGTTTTTTTTCAGTCTTTGATTGGGAAAAAAAAAAAAAAGTTCAGACCATAAAAATACCCATATATAAAGTTAAGAATAATTTTTATGTTAATTTATTAAATATATTTTATTATTTTAATAGCTTGCACTGTACCTTCTTTTTTTTCTTTTTTTCTTTTTTTTTGCAGTTCGGATTAAATGGTTTCTTCAAAAAGTGAATGGTTTTATCAAAAGGAAAAATAGGATGTCAATACGAAGGGAAGGGAAAAGCAATACATTTATATATAAGTTTTATATATTATATTTATATAAAATTTTAATTATTTATTTTTTTATTTTTAATAGTAAAAATTTACTATAACTTTTTAGATAAAAAGTAATGATTTTTAATAAATATAAATAAATCTCTGTTATTAAAAGTAAAAAAATAAATAATTGAGATTTTATATAAGTGTAATATATAAAATTTATGCATAATAGATATTTACTCAAAAAGAATGTAAAGAAATCTCTCCATTTATACTACATATTTCTAAGAAGGTTTGAGGAAATCAAACCAAATATCAAACCCATTATGGAGGACCTTTCAACTCCAATGAGTTAGAAGCACACAAAGCGTGAAGTAAAAGTTTGGGAGAAAAACGAATTATGCATAGAAAGACTTGTGTCTACTTTTCTTGTTATAGAGTCAACTTCTCAATTTAAAGGAAAACTCTTATTTTTGCTTTGGGGCTAAACAATGTGAATACAACCTATCAAAAAAATAAACAATGTGAATAAAAAAAATATTATTTTTCTTATTTTTTCCATTTTATTCTTTAGAAGGTATGACTAGTGCAGTATCTCTTTGTCCAACCTGAATTATCTATTTAACAATTTAGAGAAAAACTGACATTAAAAAAAGAAAAGAAAAGAAAAGAAAAAGTGATGAGTGTATATTTATTAACTTACTAAGCCCTCTTCTGTTTTATGCTCATAAAATTTGGGACGAAATTACTTAATTCAAGATCAGGACATGCAATTTGACCTAATGCGACTTGACATGGTATTTAGTATTTATAAATAAATTGTCTATCTACACATAAAAAGTCAAATCTTATTAGGAGTATGATTTATTATGTGTTTAAAGGCACATGAGAGGGGAATTGCTGGATTGTTAAAAAAGATAATGATATGAGAATAATTTTTTTTTTAAAAAATTTTTAGAGGTTAGTGTTTATCAATTTTGATTTTAAAATAAATTAGAGTTTCAATTTATATTTAGAATTCAAAATTATAGTTTAAAATTTAAAAATTCATTCAATTAAATATTGATATCTAAATTTAAAAATTGATAATATTAAAAAATATAATTGATTTTTAA